ATACGTGTATAATACGTTATCTACTACAAATTCAGACGAAAAATACGGGTATAATTTTGAACATCTAAATGATACATTTCATAAAATAATATATATAGTAAAAAAGAAATAAAAGTATACACATATTCAAGTAGCAAATCTCATTACTACATACTAGAATAGTTCATAATTGCATAAGTCGATGAGAAAAATAAAAACAGTAATCAGGTCTAGGACATAATTTTGAAAAATAATGTCAAAAAATCATTATCTTTATATGATCATCAAATAATAATACTCAAGTTAAACTCATCATTTTCATTAAGATGACATATGACAAAAGTTGTGTGATTGCTACACTTATTATTGTCTGTGTAAAAGCTTATGCTAAAAAAATGTTAGGTTTAGAAAAATCTTAATTTTGATATGCTAGCTTAAAAAAACATCAGAAATCTTGTAGTATATTACTACGTACAGGGGCGTAGCTAGGACGGATGTCTACCCTGGGCCGACTTCAAACTAAAAACATTATATAAAAATTTTAAAAGTTACAAAAGTGTGAACATAACGATTAAAATCCAAGCCCATATACTATATCAATATCATTTTGCATTCATTTTAAAACCAGTAGTCAATAAAGCCAAAACACAAGAGGACTGCACAACATCACTGAAGAGAAAGCATGGAAAACAATATGCCTTATAAGGGCATCCACATCCATAAATTATTTTTGATATCATGTTGATGGTGTGGAGGATTTTTTTGGGGATCATGAGTGAGGAGTTGAGATTATTTTATGAGATTATTTGATAAAATAATCTGGTATCAAATTCTAAAGTTGGATTATTTTGAGATTATTTCCAACTTCTAGGCATATATTCATAATTATGGTGATGACTAGCTTTGTAGTTCGTGCATGCCATGCTTCTACCCAATGTAAATTAAGATCATGAATGAGGAGAAATGTATTGGTTTGAAGATTTCCATGCCCTTATGTGTTGTTGGAGAGTATTCCAACCAATTAAATTCATTGAACCAAGTGGCTTGAAAACAACGTATCTTTGTATTCTCAATCTTTGTAAAAGTTAAGTTTCAGTTGATAAGGTCCGAGCATCAAATAAGATCGTCTAATTTCATTCCTTTTCTCTAACGGCCAATCACTTATCGTTTTCCGTTTTCCCGGATCCCGCTCAATTACAAGTGCATCAGAAACTACTTCCTCTTGAGCGGTATGAGATATTATGAGTTTCAATTGAGACATTTAACTCTTGTGTATTTGGTGTGCTTGTACTAGGCTTATAAAACGAACGCAATGTGATTTTTGCTAGATTGAGTAGCCATACCTATTAAAATTAGCAAAAGAATAAAAAACTAATCAATATTTTATTTAATTCATATAATTCATATTAATATTTTAAGAAATTCACTATAGCATTTGACATTCCTAAATTTTCATTTCACAATTCAAAGAACACAAATCAATTGTGACACACTAAGTCACTAACACAATTTCACAAACTAAAATAACAAATAATATACTTAAAACAAATCGTAAAAGCAATTGTCGATTCCTAGTACGAATTACGTAGTATGATGGGTTTCATTTTTAGAATTATATAGTTGCTGAAATGCTTCGAGTTCGTATGCGGATGTCCTCTGGCTGCTCACTGCTGCGATTCTTTTCTTTAGAATAGCACTGGACCATTTGTTTGCACTGGGCCAGGAAGGTTCTACAATGGGCCTGTTTTTTTGCACTGGGCCAATTCTAGAAAAAAATTCAAAACTATATATATAAACTAAAAAATAAATAAAATACCCTGGGCCTGGGCCCAGTCCGGCCACCCCCTCCCTCCGCCCCTGACTACGTAAGTTTTAGTATTTCAGGATGCTAGCTTTAGCCATCATGCAATTAATTTTAGTATTTATTAATTACACTGTAACAATACAAAAACACGAGATCATAGGGTGAACGTTTTCATTTTTACTTTTACGCTATTGTTGATCTTCTATGCATTTAGTGCATTCATTCAATTGGTCAATTCATGTTTATGTTTTTTGTAAAATACGGGAAAAATACGTTTTATACGGGAAGTAAGAGTTTTTTTCCTTTTTAAACGGACCGACATTTCCCCCCTTTTTAAACGTGTTTTTTGGTAAAAAAAAACGGAACGTGTTTAAAACGGAAAAAAGCTAAATAGGCAAAAACCTCCGCTCTCTCTGTCCGCTAGTTTGGAAACACAGACACTGGAACGACAAACTAACGAAGCGACGAAGCACTGAAGGAGGACCGACGAGGACGACGACTCGCCTGACTCACTGACAACCGCCGCCGCCCATCACCAGTGCCAGACCGCCACTGGACCACCGCGCTCCGCCTCCTCGAATCAAGTCTGTCCACCGCTCCGCCACAGGTCCGCAACTCCACAGTATTGGCAGCAACTCAGTAAGAAGCTCACTCACTCAGGCTTAACACATCTATGATTTTCAGATTTCTGATTTGTTTAATTCCGAATTAATGAAACTGATTTCATGTTGATTATTGGTTGAACTGTTGCATTGTTGTTGTTTATTTATTTTTTCAGTTAAAGTAAATGATTAATTGGATTGATAATAAATATGTTTAACACTTAAGATTTAAGAAATTGTTATAGATATATATTTAGGTAACTTGAGGTTCATAAATTATATTGTACTATATACTCTTTTATGATTTCATCCTAAGTTAATACTGAATTTTAATTTAAAATTTATAAACATGTACAATATTAGAGGAGAATTTCAATAACTGGTAGTAATTATGCTTCAAATAAATACCCATTCGGTCATGAGAAGCGTCAAAAGAAAAGAAGACTTGACAAGTTAACCTTGTCTAAAAAAGAAGCTCAAAGAATGTCTCATTTTAAATAAAATGTATTTTATTAATGACTTCTTTTATTTTTATTGTTCATTAGTAACTTGTATTTTAACACAATTTACTTGTATTGGAACTTGGAAAAAGGCCCAAATTTTGTTGTTGCACAAGGTCTTCATTTTCTCAGTACTGGCCCTGTCAGTAAGAGTGTATATATGTGTACTTAGAAGAGAAAATTACCTCATATGTGACTAAAAGTACCAACTTTTCCATATAGGGATGCTATGTTAAAACCTTCTATAGTCATATGGTAGTAAAAAAACATATCAAGTCATGCCTTCGAATTTTAATGAGAAATTTACCTCACATGTGATTAAAAGCTGTAATCTTTTTCGTAATATTAACACAACAAAAGTGATTGGAGAGAAAGGTACTTCAACCATTCTCAGGCCGGCCTCTAGGATCAGAAATGCTATAAAATCAAATCAGATGGGATGAATTTTGGACGGGGTTGTCAATAGATTTTAGATGATCATCCCCAACCAAACAGAAAATGTGATACTACGTATGGAGTATTTCTGTTTCTTTGAACATTAATATTAATATTAATTAATACCTTAACAGTTGGTAGATCCATATTACTCTCCCATATTATTCCTTGGCTAGATCCCATATTACATCCCCAACCAAACGTGTTCATACCTCATTTACAAAATATCAGGGATATCTACAAATTAGTCGGAAATTAGTCAAATTACAAACCATTGATGAATTGATTCCGAACAAGTGTAGTATCTGGTTTGATAATATCTTGTTGTATGTTATTTCAAAAGCTTTTTATATCTTGTTGGAAATACCTTTTTGAGGTTTTAAAACTCATATTTGGACTTTATTTACAATGTACTCCGTATTAAAGATTATGTGCGTATTAACCTTAAATTAATAAACATTGTCTAGTTCACTCCGAACTCGTAAATAAATATTTTAAAACATTAAACTATAGTAGTATAGTTATGGTTGTTGCTACAAAGTATTTAAAAGTGTATTGAAAAGTTAAAAAGTTATAAAACTCATTTTCTGTTCGATGCTTCCTTTTATGTTAACAATATTGAATTTTAGAATAAAAATAATATGGAAGCATTGAACATGAAATGAATTAAGTTGAGCCCCTGCAATCCGGATGGTAAGCCCACCCAGCAGCCCATGCCCAGCACTCGCTACTCGCTAGCAGCCTCACTCCCTTATTTCCCAGCTTTTGGGCGGCTGTTTTCATGGGCCTTGGGCCCTGGAGCCCATCTTACCTTCTACCCAACTGTGGCAGAGTGACAGCCCAACTTCCTAAGTCCTGCACTCCTGCTTGCCGCTAAACACTCAGACCAGTCAGGCAGAAGCAAGCACGGGAACGAAGTTACCCTCTGGACAAGTGCAAATCTGCAACGGCAAGTCGGCAACGGACTGACGGTCCGACGGAGCAACCCAAGTACCCAACGACGACGGACGGAGAGTCGGCGACCACCCCATCGGCCCTTCTTCCGACTTTCGACTTAATCTCCCATTCTCCGCCTCCCCGTAAGTTGTAAGCGGCTTAAGGATTATTTTTCTTCTCATTAGCTAAATTGTTAAATTTCTGTGCAATTCTATTCTCACAATTTCATTTAATAATTTGTTCATTGTATTGTAATTGTGGATTGTTGATTTAATTAAATTGTTAAAATGTTTTTTACAATTATATTGATATTACTTCGATTGTAGTTTTTCTAAGTTGTTTGACAAGCAATACCTATGTATTGAATAGTTTAATTTCTTCATCAGATAATAACATTCCTAACATTGAAAATAACTTTAAAAAGTCTCGAGTAGAAGTTAAATTGTAGGATGATGACATTGTTGTTAATTTTTTAGATGAAGACATTATGAATTTATGAGGCGATTTCAGAGTGGTGCCTCGAAGACAAAGATTGCCACATCTCAATTGTCCTCCTTCATTTGACACATCGGTTTCTAATCAAAATTAAAATACTCCCTCCGTCCCTATTTATTTAGCCATCTTTCCTTATTTGGCCGTCCCAAAATATTTAGCCACTTTCCATTTTAGGTAGTAAATAAAGATACAATGACCCATTTAACCTTCGTGATTACTCTCCGTCATTCTCAATCATTCTTACCCACTCCCGTCCTTTCGTTTCTCTTAGACCGTCTCTCGCTTTCTTTTACCATCTCTTTCCTCTCTTGAACAGTAGAACCGATCTACCGCCATGGATTTTGAGGACTTGCTCCTCTATCTTCCTGAGACTCCACCATTCTGAGGTGACCCTTGGGACGATAAGAGAGTCCGCAAGGAGTCAAGGAGGATGAAGGCATGTCCGCACTGATATGGCTGAAGAAGAGCACGAAAGAACTGTTGGCAATGAAATAGGAAGACTTGTACAGCTACAGGTTTTGAAATCAATGAGACAATTACGCCAAGCTTAGTTGACTCTTTTTCGGTTTGTAAAAATCAATATTCTGGAATGAAGTTGGATCCAGAACATTTCTTGATCTTCTTGAAATCTGATGTAATTACGTATGGTTGATTTTTTCAAAAAAAAAAAAAAGAATAATTTGTTCGTATATTTATTTGGTGTATACATTTCTTGATCCCTGTTGTTTGCTCTCATCTTATTGTGCTTTTGTGTGTAAGAAAAGCAATCGTCTTTTCATCAAATTGGAGCAAATGATCTGTACTTTATTTTGGGTTTCTTTTTCCCTCATTTAAGTTGAGGGGCAAATTTGTCCAGTCAACTATATATATTTCCATTCCTTATTTTTTGTGCCAGTCAACATTGGCTAAATAAATGGGGACGGAGGGAGTATCCTTTAATCACTTGCTTTTTTAAATTTTATTAGCATTGGTTTATTAGTAATACATTCATGATAGATTAATTTATATGCTAATGTGCCTCTCCAAGTCACCTTTCAAACCCTTTCCCATATAAATGGCTCTCTCAGCGGACAAACAATGTACTTGGGTTGTGAAGGAAAGAAAGGGGAACATATTTCATTTGTTCAAAATTTATTTTCTAAAAAAGTAGTTATTGGGTCGAGCATGATGTTCTTCATCTGGATTGAAGCCCAATGTCATACGGAGTATTACATATATAAGTTTGGAGTACTTACCTTGTCAAACTTTGAGTACGCCCAGAAATTGTTACCACTTAACCAGTCGGTCAGTCTTACCACTCTGAGTCGTCTATGGCTTTACATGTGACATAATTTTATCGATGTTTTTGCAACCCTAATCGTCCATCTTGTGTTTTTTGAATTCAAGATTGAAGATAGGCTATAATTGCACTAACAATAATAAGGAGTAATGAATAAGGGAGGGCTTGGAAGCAGTGGAGGAGGAGGCGGACCCACTGCCGCCGCCGCTGCAGCGGCTGCTCAGAAGCAGAAGAATCTGTTGCAGAGAGTCGATAACGACATCGGAAGCATAGTTGACAATTTCAGCTTCATTGTGAATGTTGCCCGGGTACTAGCTCTCTCACTCTCTTTTTTTCTCGCGTTCCCAAACGCAAAGTTTGCTTGAATTTTATCAATCTGTGTGTTGGAAATTTGAATGTAGTGCCATAATGATTGATGGATCTGCTCTGTATCCAAGTATTTTCGAATTGTTTTCTGTATTGAACCAAGTGAGATAAAATGGATCAGGGTGTTGGTTACTTCCTCATCCCAAAAGAGAAGCTCTTTTGTCCCAAAAAATAGTCGGATTTTGAAACAAGGAGCTCATTTCTAGGTAATTATTCAAAGAAATGTCATAAATTTGTAAAAAAAAAACTCAATATGGTAAGCTTGGGGGTCATTTAGTTCAAGGAATGTCATATTAGTAATGAATTGATTTTGAAAATATAAGTAGGTTTTCCATTACTCTTAGGGGTCATTTGGTTCAAGGGATGACAATATGTCATACTATTAGAGATTCTTTTATTAGATGTGATAGAATTACTTAGAAGCTGAAGTCAAGGTATGTGAATGTGGAGCTTCAAGGGGCTTATTTCTATATGATAATTATCATATATGTACATAATAGGTAAATGATCCACCAGTTAGGAATTCCCAAGAAGCTTTCATGATGGAGGTTCGAGCATCCAGAATGGTGAGACGTGTTTTCCTTTATGACTTCGATACACATTGATGGTGCTTTTATTGTCTCCTTTTTAAATTGCTATGTGAGTATGTGACTTTTGAAATCCCATCCATTATCAGTGCTCTTTAGGTTGGTATAAACATCCTGAGAAAAGTAGATTGCATGCATGTATCTCTTTGTGTGTATAAACACTATAACTAATTGTAATTTATGGATAATGTTGCTTTGTGTACAAGAGCACAGTGTACAAGATGATGGTGCTTTGTGTTACACCAACACATTTAATATGCCAAAAATACCCTAACCTTCATTGGTGTTTATAATATTTTAGATTTTAGATGTTAGGTTTAATATACTAAATCCCCTTGTGATATATAAATCCGGCGCATTATATCTCTGATTTAAAAAATGCATCAAACTCTTATGTGTTAATATTATGATTGAATAAGAAAGTAAACTTATCTATTAATTTTATTCATAGAAGGCTTTTAATTTGCCAAGAATAATTATGGAACTGTTAGAAATGAGACCAAAAGCGTATCATCTTCATTCACATATAGCGTATATATACAGGGGAGAATATGCAAGTGTTAGAAATGAGACCAAAAGCCTATGCTACTCAACACCAGAGATTCTATCATTATTATTTATGTGCACAACTTGTTTATAAATATAATTTGTGCTTCTAATATTTATTACCCTTAAAATATGATCAAATTTCTAATCTGTATGATTCTCTCAAGTATATACATGCTTCATGCATCTTATCCTTAAAATAGAATTAATATATAATTATATATCGGGCTTTATGCCACAAGTATATAAATGCTTCACGCATTGTATTATCCATTCTTAAGACAAAGACAATATATCTCTAAAATAATCACCAATCTAATGATCTCATACTTTGATAGAAATAATATAAATCACGCATCTAGGGATGCATATAGAGAGTCTAACAATTAGTTAAAGATACTCTTGTAGTAACATACAATTATTAAATAATCATATTTGTGTAAGAGTACCTTAAATAGTTGTCACCAACTATTCATTTGAGTGAATTTCTAAAATTTCTCCTAACATATAATAACATATTATCATTATTATACATCTCATTGTCTGAAAATTTATATAATTAATATTTATTTCAATAATTAAATACAAGCACAACCCTCAAATTGTATGTCTAATCTATGCTCTTATAGTGACTTCTGGCACATTGTTGTAATTTCATATTTTCATTTATGAATTTTTTTTTCTTTTCTCCGCCTCAAATGGATTAATTTAAATTCAAATGGATCAATATACATAACAATACTTAACTATGTTTTGAATATAGCTGAAGCTTATACTAGTCAATTAACTTATCGATTAATATTCAACAACCAAGTTTATGAAATACACATGCATTCATGTAATCATATTATGTTCCAAGATCACCAAATTATAAACAGAAATATGTGGAACGTACCTGTAATCTCTAATACACATTTCTTAATGCTTACCTTAACTCAAGTTGCCTTATAATAATTCAAATAGGCATTAGAAAGACAATGAAATGTTACCTTAACTCATGTAATATGAAGCTTCCGCCCCCAATTTTACAATTCATTCTTTGCCGCCTCCCCCTCACTTCCAAATATTGATTTCCTGTCTCCACCATCCACTCAGTCAGTCTTTACATAACTCTCAATACAAACATAAATATTAATCATTTAAAGGCTTATAGGTTCAATCTTGAAAGTAACGGGATCAAAAAGATAACTTAGAAGTTGGAACGATAGGGGTTTAGAGGAGAAGTTATGTCCACTTCAGGGGCTTGTTTATACACCTATCTATCTATATACAAAGCAAGGTGGAAAAGAAGCCAATATTCCACAAAAGATACGGGTAAAAAATAATGGGTCGGATCTGTTGAATATTTTCAACCTTTCTGTTATGTGGGCCAGGTCATTAAAAATTGCTTTGATCTGTCAGACAGTGTTGTCCATTTCAACTGCACCTTTGAGATGATATTTGCGTGCTATACCATTCAATTCAGCATATAAATATCTCACACGATCTCTTCCGCAAATAACATCATCTGCTTACTGTTAGGCCATCTCACCTTTGAAACAGTATTGGAACACGCCTTTGTGTTAGCCAGTGATGCCAATGATAGTTCTGTTAATGCTAACAGTGTAACAAACGGTGATAAAGATTACCTATTTACCAGAAAAACGGAGTTGCTCACCCTTGGATAAAAACCAGAAACATGCCGTTCGAACGGTTGTCCAGGCCTAAATCAGTCCACGGAGGCCATAGGGCTCGCTACTTGATAAACCACTGATAATCCCTAGCTCAGAACAGTATGAAATTAATAAGAGAAATGGAAGAACAGATCGAAATGCTTTATTCACCAACTGAACAGATCACAGGGATACAATGCTCAGGGACCATTCGAGATGCCCAATCTCCAAAGTCCAGTCTCAACAGAAAATAACAGCCTGCTCCACCCATCTATTATTATTATTATTCTATTTATAGTATTTCATCCATGCAGGGATATAGGAATATCACTAATTAGTTAGCTATTTAACTAACTACCCTCCAGTTCCTCCTGTGATATACTTCATTAAAATATTGAGTAGGCTGCTTAGCTGGATGCCTATCACTACTTGGGGAGGTAGTTAGAACTTAGAAGCGGTTGGCCTTGGTGGATCTAACGGTGGTTGACGATGGGAAGTTGGGTTGGGGAGATTCTTTCATTTCTATTACTGGTAAGCAAGCTTTGTGTTTTGGGGGTCATGCTTTCCATTTGTTGGTTAGGGGTTAGTGTTGAACTGTTGATTTGCTGGGCTTCCTCTTATCTCATGTTTGGGAGTCCGCTGAGGTGTTCTGGGTTCCCTCTTCTGGTTAGTCCCCAGTGTTCGGCTCGCAACACTTCCATGGCGAAAGTTTCTGGCGCCGGCAGCAGGGTGGTTGTAATTGGCCGGGCGCTGGGGTTGGAAGAGGAAAACCAATGTTTGGTTCTCGCTTGGATCTGCCTTGGGGTGCTGGGTGTTTATTGGTGGAGGTGATGTTTGAGATACGGTGGTTGATTTTTTCTTGCCAGCAGTTAGCTGCTGGAATTGCTGGTCAACGCCGGGTCTGACGGTGGACTGGGAAAAGATGAAAGTACCGATGATGGACAAGCGGTCCATTCTTACCTCCCACACGTGTATTTTGTGGGCCCGTTAATGGATGCAGCACCTCTGGCTGAAAGGGACTTAGGGCTCCTAACGATAGCGGTTCATAGGGAGCTGGGCAGGTTGCTTTTCTTGCAGGCTGGACCTGTTACTATGGTGGGCCTTCATGGTACTCTGCTTGCGCTGGAGGCAGAGACGCGTGTAGGAACCCTTTGATTGGCCTGCAATTTTGGGTTCCGTTGCTGCTTTGAAACCTGGGATATGGAACACTGCTTTTCAAGTGGACTTGCAAGGGCGTTAGTGCTGGACTACGACCTTTTTTGCTGATTTTTGGAGAAGTGAATTTTGGTGTTAGGCCGGGTAACGGGCCTTGATTGCCTCAGCCCCTGGCTCTAATTTTTGATGTATTGCATTTTGGGTTTTTGATGGATTGAGCTGTAACAGGTTATGTATGCTCTTCCAAGAAGCTCGAAGGTGCTGGATCCTGAAAAATTCAAAGAATTCAAGCACTGAAGCGTACTCATCTGAGCCAGTGTGGCGAAGTTTAGGTTTGGACTTCCAACTCCCACTTCTGTTTTGGGCAACACATTAGTTGCAGGGGTAGAGACAGTCAAGGTGAAGAGGTTAATAAACCATACACTCCAATAAGGACCTATACTTTCATTCTATGAATAAAAATAATTACCGTTCTATACTGTAGGATGATGTATAAATTAAGATAACAACTACAAGTATTTATGATAATACGTTTTGATTATAATATAGACTACCGTCCTTTTACTATCAACATTATGATTTCCTAATTTATAAATTCTTAATATTTATTACACTTTCTTTCAATGCATTTACACATTCCATTGTTTCAAAACTGTCATGTATTATTATTTTAAGCAAATAATAATACATAGTACATAGTTTCTTACTAAAAAAATTCCTGGTGAGAATTTAGTTCTTCCAAGATCGAGGTTTTTTTGCATAGTTGAAGTTTTGTGGCACAATATAAACCCTGCTTGGTTCTAGTGGATTTTCTTCTTTGTTTTTCAAATAAACATGTGGTTGTTCTAGATCTTTTCAATGAACAAATATGTATGACTACACAGGTTCAGGCAGCTGACTCGTTGCTAAAGTTGGTTTCGGAGTTGAAACAAACGGCCATCTTTTCTGGATTTGCTTCCTTAAACGACCATGTGGAGCAAAGAACTGAAGAATTCAACCAACTTGCCGAGAAGACGGACCGGGTATTAGCCGGGATTGGAGAGGAGGCTGCTGCTACCCTTAAAGAACTCGAATCCCATTATTACTCTTCTGCCCTGAGAAGTAATTGTATGCTTCCCTGTGATGATAACCATGAATCAAATGGTTGAACATCCAAGCATGATTGCTTACTTTACAAGCTTTATTTTTCATGGAAATAATTAATTTTGGTTATTTTATATAGAAACCTAATCTCCTCGTTGAACGGCCAATTGGCTTCAGGATTGTAACGGCCAGTCTTGGTTGACCGGATGAACCCATCAAGACTTAAATACTCCCTCCGTCCTAAAAAATTCTTCCAACTTTGAGTTGGATTGCATATTAAGAAAAAGATGGTTGTAGAAATGTATGGTTGTAGTTGTGTAAAAAAAAGATTAAATTAGGGTTGGGACTTTGGAACCAAGAACCGGAGAACCGAACCGGACCGAATCGTTATGACCTGGTTCGGTTCGGTTCCAACATTTATTAGTTATTTGTTAACGGTTCGGTTCCTAATTTTTATCAACGGTTCGGTTCTTGGTTCCTGAAAAAAATATGTACCAGGAACCGTTAAGGAACCGTTATATATAATAATTAAAATTAAATATATATTTTATGAATATATATATTGTAATGTAGATTTACTTATTTATTTTTATATTATATTCATTATTTTAGTGTAGTTATTTAACTATTTAAAACTATTATTCATTTCAACCTGTTCTATTAGGCTTTTTAGGCCTCTCATTAGGTCCAAACTCCAGCTGGTCGGAACTCAGAAGGTCCAGAGTATTTAAAATAAACTTATTCTCTTTAACTAGTTCAGCATATATGTATTATGATTTCAAACGTTGAATGTCTTATTGGCAAAAATTTAGTCGTGATTTGTAAGAATTTTTTCAAAGACTAGGAAGCGTTAAATGACAAGAACCGAACCGTTAAGAACGGTTCGGTTCCTTATCGGTTCTATAAAATAATTTATAAGAACCGAACCGTTAGTAAAATTTCATATTTTCAAACGGTTTCACATATTTTGCCTAGGAACCGAACCGGTTTCAGGCCTAGATTAAATGAATGTGAGCCACACAAATAATAAAAAAGGTGAAGTTGGAAGAATTTTTTGGGACATCTCAAAAAGGAAAGTTAGAAGAATTTTCTGGGACGGAGGGAGTATTTTAAAAGGGCATATCACAATGAAACGAATACATGGGAAAACATAAAAATATGAGGTTTGTAGGCTTGTAGCCATATGAAGCACAAATCCACGGAGTAGCACAAATTACTCAGATAAACATAGTGACAACTGGAAGACACAGATAAAGGGGAGTATTTGTTTTATAATTATGCCATTTGATTATGGAAAAGCTATGCAGTATGCATCATGGGACACTCCATTAAAGCTTGAGGTCCATGAGGGCGTGGCTAAGAAGGAACAGAAAGCAGTGTGCAGATCAAGTCTTGATATTTGAACAAACATGTCATGTGTGATTCATGACAATTTGGTACTTAGTAATATACTAAGAGAATCTTCAAATGCAGGAATGTGCATGCAAATAAATCCTGAAATTCATGAAAAATAATTCCAATTAACGGTGTGAAAGTGACAACAAAAATGCCTATGCCTTGCAGATATTGTCAAAGGTAATATTTGATGTGGCCATGTGGGAAAAACAAAAACAAATGCCAGAATAAGACTGCTTAGGTAGTGTTAAGACAGAGTGCAATGCCTAACTACCAGAAATCAGCTAATAAGACCTCGTCTCCCACAAGATGAGTTTTCTTTTCCTGATAAGTTACGTTATTAGTCAATTTAATCGTTAGGGAAAATATCGGACTGGGCTTTAGGAAATCAAATGCATCTCAAATCACCAACAATAATAAAAAGTATAAATCAGGGATATACTGAAGTATGGAGACAATGATCTACGCATAACAAGTTTACTAGTACTTCTATTGAACATGTTACTAATTCAAATAAATAATCCAATCTAGAACTGTACAAAGTTAAAAACAAGAAATTTATGTTTTTAATCTAACATTCTAAAAATATAACTGTTTAAACAAAATTGAATACTACGTATATTATTAGGCAACACAATTGTGGTTTGAAGTACACAAATCAATTCGGAAGGAAACATGTCATTTACTCATTCATCGGGAGACATTAACTTATAATTAGTGTCAATCATAGTATATGACAATAAAATAAAAATTAATTACGCTAAACAGGAGTAAAACATGACTAAAATAATGAATTCCCCCTGGTTCCCACCCATCATAACCAGGTAGTCCGATGGCGGCGGCCGGGTGTGGCCACTGGTAGTTTGGTATGACGCCCACCGGCGGAAACTGGATGTGGTCACCGATCTAGCAATTAGCGGCCGCAACCCGGTGACCAAACTCGAACCACGAGGGTTTTTGTCCCATCACAAATAATTACTTACATTTTAGGAATTAAAAAAATACTCGTAACTTTTATTTTTACACTTTAATTATGTTTTACTCCTGTGTGACAATATTCAACACAAAAAAGAAAGAAAGGGTCACATAGTAGCACACAAAAAGTACTAAACATTGTATGGAGTTTAATGCACCAAACTCACTCATGAAATATAAATTAAATTTGACGCATTAACTCCATGTGATTTAAGAAAAAACGACAAACTCTCTTGTGTTATAGTTATTCATGCACAAAAACTCCTTTAATGAACAAATTCATATCAATTTCCAAATAAATGAAAAAGAAAAACATAAATGTCTTGTTTTTAATCAATTTCCTTGCATGTATTAATCAATTTTCCTTGCAAAAAAAGAGAAACATAAAATTTAGTCAAAAGAGAATATATATGAGTAGCGTATAATTATCTTGACAAGGTTACTTGCATATTCAATCATATTTTTAAGAAAAATGATTTTAAAATTGTAAATTTGTTGTTAGAGGGGGTTTTGTGCATCAGTAACAATAACACAAGAGAGTTGGACACATTTTTTTAAATCATATGGGCTAATGCGTCAAATTTAAATATCATGAAGGGTTTGGTTTGGTACATTAAACGCCATTGTATAAGGCAAACTTAATGTAACACACTAAAAAGAAAAATGTGATAAAATAATAGTGAAACAAATTAAATGAAGTGATTAATATTAATTATAATAAAAAAACATCTCGCAAACAAATATTTTTAAGATGATCTTAAGACCCATTCGACATTGTATATTTGTATTAGATGAGTGAAAATCTTATAATAACATTATGTTTTTCTCTCTCTTTTTTTGGTTTTATTTTCTTTTTCCATATCTTCTTTGTTCCCACTTTTTATCTTTCCCTTCCTTCTTGGAACCTGTACTTCTCCGCCTTCCCTCTTTACCATCCTCTACAATGTATTCAATATTTTTAATGTCATATTTGGGAAGAACTAATTTGGCTGATAAGGGGGCATCCTTTCAAGGTGAGGGTCAAGCTGATGGCCAGAGAAAGGCTTTATACGGGGGCAAGCCCCCTGTGAAGAGGCTGCTCCAAGGCTTGAACCCGTGACCTCTCGGTCACACAACAAACCATAATTGGCGTGCAAAGACTCCCATTTAATTTGGACAATCCAAATGAACGAATTGGCGTGACTCTCATCATCTTTTTCTTCTATTTGCTGATGATGCGACAGACAGAAGCCTTTCTCCGGTGCAACAACGGCTCTTAACCGTTCCGGCAGTGCAACGGTGGAACCATTGAACTACACTTGCTTCTGGATAGATTTGTGAGACAAAGTGTACCTTCTGCCCACCCTACGTTCTCTACTTTGGAGAGTGGGCTCAAGAGAGGGGTGTACCCTAGAAGTCATAGACGAAGCTTTTATTGGTATTTTCTTAGTGTTGGGAGAAGAGGGCAACCGGGTGTCTTACAGAAAGGGAAAGCGGAAGCATCAAAGGTGTCCTCGCATGTAGGGGCAATTTATAAGGGTGTATTTGTTTTTTAACTGTTCAGCACATCATTGGGTTCTTTTTGAGAAGGTTGTCCATGAAGTTGCTTGGGATTATTCATGTGATTTTTTCCAATGTTATAAGCACCGGGAAATTTTATGAAGCCCTATATGACTCCACTATGGAGTCATATAGCATATGTGGCACCATCACATTCATTCACTCATGAAGTAGGGTCCTCCACTATAAATCCACTATAGAATTGAATGGTTGTGATAATGCCACATATGTTATATGACTCCATAGTGGAGCCATATAGGGTTCCATAAAATTTTTGTTATTTAGGATGCATTATGGTGCATCTTTGATGACCAATCAATGATTGCCCAACTCATGGATGATTATATTTGTATTTTAATGACTTTTTAGAATTCAGTATATGGGTCAGAAATTGGTGAAGAATTTATGATCGATGAACGTCTTGATGCGAGTAGTTCTTTTCTTTGTGTATTTAATTACTTATTAGAGATTAGCGATTCTGTTTCATTAAAATATACATTTGTGCAGGCTCCTACCCTCAAGTCTTTTGCCTATAATGTATTAAAAGATGAAGCAGCTGTTAAGCATTTAGAAGCACTTCTAAAAACCCTTTATGATAACTCACAACATACTTTAAGTAGTCGTGCAGTGGAACATTTTAACCAAGTGAAAGCTATTTGGGGAAACCGTGACTTTATTAGAATCATTCTCAAGGTAATGAAATGCTTTGGATTAATTTATTACAAGTACAAACTATGGGATCAACTTAAGTTGGATTTCTTGCCCAACCATATTTACCATTTCTTGTTTAACAGAATGGGACTACCCCGTGCTCGATGTTGAGATTTAAGTGTGTAGCTGCCCGGAAGTTGACTGAGTTCCTTGTATTTAGAATCAGGGAAGATCCCTCATTTGATGATATTTTTCAACATATGGAACCTACTGCTATGATGAGGTTCTTTCCACTCCATAATGCGCTAATAATAATATTAATAATAATAATTATAATAATGATATAATAATACTAAAATAATAGTTTCTGGGACTGTTTCTATAAATTATGCGGTCATTCTAAATTTCCAATATTTTTACCTTGTACTTTCTATCTCTCCTATTATTCAAGGAGTGCCTTGAGTATTTTAATAGGCTACTGGGCAAATGAAGAAGCGATTCTTCCATTGCTTTATGCAATGGGCGCTCGTGCTTTTGGAGTTAAGAGATTTGGCTTAGGAGAGGTTTGTCATAGTAATGTAAAAGTAATCGTCTCAACTCTCAAATATCATTGATGTTGATTAGCTATGTAGCATGAAAACTCTCCACGGCTCACGTTTCCACATTTCGGAAACTCGGAAGCATTTTGGAAACTCGGAAACTTCGAATTCTCGTTTCGGGGCCGTTTCCGATATAAGAAAAATTTGAAAACCCATTTCATTACGTTTAGGAAACCTCATATTCCATTTTTTTTCTTTTTTAAAGATTCCGATGTGGAAAATAATTTTTTTAATAGTGAATTTTTGTGGTATTTCTCAGCAGCAACACTTGTTACATTTCTTAACGCAATGTATTGTTAGAAATGTATTACTCTGTATATTTTATGTTTAATTATGTACCAATATGAAATAATATCCCAATTCGATCATGTAAAGTGATTTTATTATTTGGTTACTAAACAAATTATATGAAAAAAACATGTGCATATGAAAAAACTTGTGCAGATATATTAAAAAAATATTTATAACTATATCCTTATATTTTATAATATTTACGCGTTTCCCCCACGTTTCATATCCTATATTTTTTGAAAATTACGTTTCTTGCGTTTCCCGTTTCCCATTTCACGTTTCCCGTTTCCGTGCTACTTAGCTGATTAGTGCCAATTCCTTTAGAATTTCTTTTCTCTCACTTTCAATTTCCTGGATATTATACGTTGATCATTGTCTCTTCGTTCTTAAGTATATCCGTGATTTCTACTTTTGATTGTTTCTGATTTGAGATGCATTTTATTTCCGGAAGCCCAGTCCGATATTTTCCCTGATGATTATATTGAATAATACTCCCTCCGTCCCAGGGAGAAGTTCCCGGGTTGACTTTCACACATATTAAGGAAATAAAGTTACTGAGGGGTAAATTTTACTGTTTGGCACTGTTTCGACACTGTTTGGCACTGTTTTGCACTGTTTTGATGTAGGATAACTTTCCATTTAGGGAAATGGGAACTTTTTGTTGGGACTGCCAAAAAAGGAAAATGGGAACTTCTCCCTGGAACAAAGGTAGTAACTTTTTAGGAAAAGGAAACTGATCTAGTCTCTGGAGAAGAGCGATCTCTGAATAAAATATGCATGGAATCTCCATCTTGCTCTATCATTGCTGACCTTTCTCAACCCTCAAGTATGTATACCCCACCCCCGATTTGGGCTCTGATAATATGGAAGATGTTGGGTAGTTAGACATAGTACACTTTCTGTGTTAACACTTCCTATGCAATCTTATTTTGGCATTTGTTGTGTGTTTTTTCCCACATCAAGTATTACCTTTCACAATGTCTGTAAGGCAAAGGCATTTTTTATTGTCTCTTTCAAACCATTTATTGGAAATATTTTTCATGATTTTTGGGATTTATTTGCATGCATACCATGCACATTCCTGTATTTGAAGATTCTCTTAGTATATTATACGTGGTACCAAATTGCTGCCAAATTGACATGTCAGTTTCAGCTCGTGCATTAGTATAAGTATGGAAGAATTTATTTTGTTTTAGCTTGTTCAGTTGTTTGGTTAAGCTTGTAAGTTAACCCATGCAGGATGCTTCGATCAAGAAACTGGCTGACCAATTAATAAAGTTTCCAGAAGCAGTTCTCCTGGCGGAAGAACTCCTGAAATCTCTGAAGGATGCTGTTCCGTTAAGACTTCCCCCATATCTCCACTATCTTGAAAGACCTAGATCTGCAGCACTTGGATTTTGGCTTGCTCCTGTCATCATCCTGCACCTAATTAAGGAATTGAAAGAGGTATTTCTGGTTTCTTCATGTTAATTTCTGCAAAAAAAAAAAAACACTATAATTGATTAGCATCTTTAACTAACCCTTCCTTTAACAGTCCACTGCACTATTCAACACTCTTAACAAGTATATAAAGGGAGCACAGCTTTTACGATGTCAGGAACGAATGACTCGTATATAGAAAGATCCCTTGCTGGGATTGATTCTTGTGAGCGATCATTTTATTAAGATAAGGTTTGTATATGCCACCTGCCCGCCAAAATATGCATGATTTATCATGTTGTGGATTTATTGATGCTCTCTCTAAGATAGGATGAAATGTGATTGGTAATTGATAGTTTGTTAGGTTATGCTTTGTGAAAGTATATTAAAATACACTTTAGAATATGCTTTAGGATATATTAGGAATATACCATATATAGTATTATTGTATAGCATCTTTTATAGGAATATTCTATCTTTGTAATCTATATTTATAGGACCTTACCCTTCAATGAAATACACAGAAAAATCTTTCCTCCACTTTTAATATTATTCTAGTTTATATTTCAACATGGTATCAGAGACTTTCTGTTCCATTTGATTCTAATTTCACAGCCCAGTTTCTTCCCCTTCAGAACATCCCCAGTCCCAGAACCTCAGCAGAATATCCCCAGCCCCAGAACCTCAGCAGAACATCCGCCGTCCCAGAACCTCAGCAGAACATCCGCCGTCTCAAAACCTCAGCAGAACATCATCACTTTAGTTCATAAACTCAGTCCAACAACTGTCTCACCACCACCACCCTCTGGTTCGCCTGCCGCCGGCGACCGGCGACCTGAAGGCCGCACGCCCAAATCAGCGCGAGTGAGCTACACGCGCCGTCGGGAGCTTCCGCATCCATCGCACGTGCCGGCGCGTGCAACCATGTTTCTGGCCGGAGCTTTGATTGGAACCCATCACCTCACTCGCAGTTGTGTCTTCTACCACATGTATTCGATATTTCCAGGTATCTTCTGAACATAATCTTGGAAGTCTCACTTGTTTGTTCTCCAGCCAAGGACGGATATATGTTAGCGGGAGGTAGTTCAGTTATTTGGTCGCTGGATTCAAGCATCTGGTATTCAGGAATCGATAAGGCATCGGGAGGTAGTCGGATATATGCTCCCTTCAACTGATTGTTGAGATCGGATCCAGTCCGTTTTATTGGGAAGTCCAAAGACGAAGCCTTGGAGCTTTGACTGGAGTCCGTTATTTTACTGGAGTCCAAAGATTACTTATTTCGTTCTCCAAAATTAGAGCCCACGCACGTGAAAGGCTGATGTAAGTTCATACTGCTATCTCAGTTTTGATTAAAAAAAAATCAAGAAAAAAAAAACATGTCTTGTACGAGTGGATTAAGAGTAATATGCAATTACTGTAAGAAGCCGGGGCACTTGATCAAATAATGTAGAAAATTGCTGTTCAAAAATCAAGGAAATCAGTTTGCTCGCGTCGCTTCTGCTACCAGTTCACCTAATGGATCAGTTGCTATTTCTTCAGATGAGTATGCCAAATTTATTTGCTACCAAGAATCTCTAAAGCATTCATTTGTCCCTATCTCAGTAGCCGCGAATTCAGGTATTTCAAACACATGCCTTGTTTCATCATCCTCGAAATGGGTCATTGATTCAGGTGCCACAGATCACATGACCGGTAATCCTAGTCTATTCTCGCCATTTCATTCATATTTACCTACTTCTAGTGTCATTTTAGCTGATGGATCTACTTCACCCGTTCTTGGATCTGGTACTGTTGTTCCAACTTCTACATTACCATTATCGCCTGTTTTGAGTCTTCCTAATTTTGCATTTAATCTGCTTTCCATCAGTAAAATCACTCATACTCTTAATTATTCTGTAACATTTTTTCCTGGATATTGTGTATTTCAGGATCTGTTAACGAAGCAAATTATTGGTAAAGGACATGAGTCAGCTGGTCTTTATATTTTGGATACATCCATCACAAAAGGTATCTCTTGTCTTGGGGTTGGGACTTTGTTAGATGCTCATTACCGATTAGGACATCCATCTCTCCCATTAATGAAGCAAATAAATCCCCAATTTAGTAAGATGACCTCTTTACAATGTGAGTCATGTCAATTTGCTAAACACCATCGTACTAGCTTAAGCTCGCGAGTTAATAAACGAGCAAATGCTCCATTTGACCTTGTTCACTCTGATGTTTGGGGTGCTTGCCCGGTTGTGTCTAAAGCTGGTTTTAAATATTTTGTTACCTTTGTTGATGACTATTCTCGTATGACATGGTTGTATTTCATGAAACGTCGATCTAAGTTGTTCACTCATTTTTCTTCCTTTTGTGCTGAAATTAAAACTCAGTTCAACGTTCCTGTTCGGGTGTTAAGAGGAGACAATGCCCAAGAATATCTATCTGCTACATTTAAGTCATATATGCTTCAACATGGCATTATTCATCAAACTTCATGCGTTGACACACCTCCTCAAAATGGAGTTGCAGAACGAAAGAACCGATATCTGTTAGAAACTGCAAGGGCTCTTCTATTCCAAATGAATGTGCCTAAACAGTTTTGGGCAGATGCCGTGTCTACTGCATGTTTTTTGATAAATCGAATGCCATCTTCTGTTTTGAATGGTAAAGCTCTTTATCATTGTCTATTTCCAAACAAAGAGCTTTTTCCTATCCCACCTAAAATATTTGGTTGCACTTGTTTTGTTAGAGATGTTAATCCTCATCTTACAAAGTTAGATCCCAAATCATTAAAATGTATTTTCTTGGGTTATTCTCGAGTCCAAAAGGGGTATAGATGTTTTTGTCCGAGTACTGGTCGGTATCTTGTTTCTATTGATGCATCATTTCATGAAAATACACCTTTTTCATCATCTAAGACAGATATTCATGAGAGTAATGATGATATACTCATTTACACGATGACTATTCCTGAGTCCACACTTTCGACAAATATTCCACAAGTTACTGTTCCTGACCCTAGGCCTCCCGTACATTTGGTATACACCCGTCGACACAAAGCACCGGATCACCCTCCACCGGCGATACCTGTGATTATTTATCCTGATACTAGTTCGACTCTGATCTCATGTCCTGAACCAGTACTTGCATCTTCAGATCTTGTCTCCACATCAGATCTTGACCTCCCAATAGCACTACGTAAAGGTACACGGTCTTGTACTCATCCTATTTCTTCATTTGTGTCGTACAATTAGTTATCTCCTGCTTCATGTTCTTTTATTGCTTCCATTGATTCTATTTCTGTTCCCAAATCTGTCAAAGAAGCTTTGTCTCATCCTGAATGGCGTCATGCCATGGTAGAGGAAATGAATGCTTTAGATCTTAATGGTACTTGGGGTTTGGTTGACTTGCCTACAGGGAAGAAATCTATTGGATGTAAGTGGGTCTTTGCCGTTAAGGTTAACCCAGACGGATCTGTTGCTCGGTTGAAAGCCCGATTAGTTGCGAAGGGTTATGCTCAAACCTGTGGTGTTGATTATTCTGACACTTTTTCTCCTGTTGCTAAATTAACATCTGTCAGGTTACTTATTTCACTCGCTGCAACTCATGATTGGCATCTACATTAGTTGGACATTAAAAATGCATTTTTGCATGGTGACCTTAAGGAAGAAGTCTATATTGAGCAACCTCCGGGATTTGTTGCTCAGGGGGAGTATGGTAAAGTTTGTCGACTTCGCAAATCTCTTTATGGTCTGAAACAAAGTCCTCGTGCATGGTTTGGAAAATTCAGTCAATCAATTGAACAATTTGAAATGATAAAAGGCAAATCAGATCACTCTGTCTTTTACAAACAAACAGAATCAGGTGTCACATTGCTTGTGGTGTATGTTGATGATATTGTGATTACAGGGAGTGATAATGCAGGTATTTTGGCCCTTAAGAATTTTCTGCATAGTCAATTCCAGACGAAAGATCTTGGCTCTTGGAAATACTTTCTGGGAATTGAGGTAACACGGAGTAAGAAAGACATATTTCTATCTCAACGTAAATATGTACTTGACTTACTAACTGAGACGGTGAAATTAGGGGCCAAACCAAGTACAACACCCATGATTCCCAACGTGCAACTCACTCAAGAAGGCACACCGTTTGAAGACCCAGAAAGATATAGAAGACTGGTTGGAAAGCTTAATTATCTCGCAGTCACTCGTCCAGATATTGCCTATTCTGTGAGTGTAGTGAGTCAATACATGTCATCTCCAACCATTGATCATTGGGCTGCAGTAGAACACATATTATGTTACTTAAAGGGTGCATCAGGACGAGATATTGTTTATCAAAACCATGATCACATGAGAATAGAATGCTTTGCAGATGCTGATTGGGCCGGTTCTAAAGATGATCGAAGATCTACATCTGGTTATTGTATCTTTGTTGGTGGTAATCTTGTATCTTGGAAGAGTAAGAAGCAGAATGTGGTTTCTCGTTCGAGTGCCGAATCAGAATATCGAGCTATGGCACAATCTGCATGTGAGATCATATGGATAAGCCATTTATTGACCGAGCTCGGACTGAAGACATCAATGCCTGCTAAATTGTCGTGTGATAACCAAGCTGCTATACACATAGCAAACAATCCTGTATTTCATGAGAGAACAAAGCATATTGAGGTCGATTGTCATTTTATTCGAGAGAAAATACAAAAAGGATTGATCTTTACAGGATATGTGAAGACCGGGGAACAACTTGGAGATTTGTTCACTAAAGCACTAAATGGAATTCGAGTTGGTTATTTATGTAACAAGTTGGGCATGATAAATATCTATGCTCCAACTTGAGGGGGAGTGTGAAAGTATATTAAAATATACTTTAGAATATGCTTTAGGATATATTAGGAATATACATGTAGTTTTATATAATATGAACCTTCACTCTCCTAAATTATAATAGATGTACAAAGTCCCTATATATATACAGGGAGAATCCTCTTCATAAGGAAACTCTATTCTAAGGAAACTAAATCTCACAGAATATGGAATCTAGAATATGGAATCTAGATCTGAGAGAATAAGGAAACTAGATCCCTGAGAATAAGGAAACAAAATCAAAGATAATTACACATTATTTGACAGAATATCTATCTAAATCTACACTCCCCCTCAAGTTGGGAGTATATATGTCAACTAAACCCAACTTGCTCACAATCCCATCAAAGCTAGGCTTGAATAGTCCTTTGGTGAGGATGTCTGCCACTTGTTGTGAAGTTGGAACATATGGTATGCATAAACTACCATTTTCTATCTTCTCTTTGATGAAGTGTCTATCAACTTCCACGTGTTTAGTCCTATCATGTTGTACAGGATTGTTTGCAATGCTTATGGCAGCCTTGTTATCGCAATACAATTTTATAGGACATTCTAGAGGTAGATGGAGTTCCTTTAGTACTCGCTTGAGCCAAATTCCTTCACAAATCCCGTTTGCCATAGCACGAAATTCTGCTTCAGCACTACTGCGAGCCACCACAGTTTGCTTCTTGCTACGCCAAGTCACTAAATTTCCCCATACAAATGTGCAATATCCACTTGTTGATCTCCTGTCTGTGGTCGAGCCTGCCCAATCTGCATCCGTAAAAATTTCAACAGTTCTTTGAGCACTCTTCTAAAAAAATAATCCCTTTCCTGGAGATCCCTTAAGATATCTGAGAATACGGTATGTTGCATCCAAATGAGCTTGCTTAGGAGAATGCATAAACTGGGAGATGAGGCTAACACCAAAAGCAATATCAGGTCTTGTGTGTGATAAATATATCAGCTTCCCAACCAATCTTTGATACCTCCCCACATCAACTTCATCACCTCCAATATCACATAGTTTCTCATTTGGATCTATCGGCGTGTCAACAGGTTTACAACCTGTCATGTGTGTATCAGAGAGTAAGTCCAGAACATATTTTTGTTGACTTACAACAATTCCCTTCTTCGATCTCGCCACTTCCATTCCCAAGAAATACTTTAGTGGCCCCAAGTCTTTAATCTCAAATAGTCGTGCTAGACTTCCCTTCAAATCATTAATTTCTTCAAAATCATCACCTGTAACAATGATATCGTCAACATATACTAGTAAAACAGTAATTTTCCTTGGGAATTACTTTGTCCCAAGGAAAAAGTAATATCCCATTTCCTTTGCGTTTAAAGAATAAGGTGTGATTACTTTGTCCTTGGGAATATCCCTGTTGTTTAACAGAGCTTGTAAATCTTTCGAACCAAGCTCGAGGTGATTGCTTTAAGCCATAGAGGGCCTTCTTTAAGAGACACACTTGAGATCCAAACTCATTTTCAAAACCAGGAGGAACATCCATATAAACCTCCTCTGCAAGCTTCCCATTTAGGAACGCATTTTTTACATCTAATTGATGTAATGGCCAATCTAAGTTCACAACAACTGATAGTAGGACTAACCGTATTGAGCTTCGCCACTGGGGCAAAGGTTTCTGTGTAGTCAATACCATAAGTTTGAGTAAACCCCTTTGCTACCAGTCTCGCTTTATACCTCTCAAGTGTTCCATCAGAGTTGTATTTGACTGTGAACAACCATTTACATCCCACTAATTTTTTCCCATCTGGAAGAGCAACTTTAACCCATGTCTGATTCTTCTTAAGAGCATTCATTTCCTCCAGAACTGCTGCCTTCCACTCAGGAATCTGTAAAGCTACTTGTATATATTTTGGGGACTCCACACGATTAAGATGAGAGGTGAAACAAGAAAAAGAAGGAGACAGATTCTGAAGAGACACATAATTAGACATAGGATATTTAATAGTGCATTTTCTCACTCTTTTTCTAAGGGCAACAGGCATATCAACTTCAGAAGGATTGAGATTAGAACCAAGAGTTAATGGAATTGGATCGGGAGAAACTTTACCTGACTGTGGGGATTCGTCTTGGTCGTGCATGGGAATGTTTGGCTGTACACCCTTCGGTGGACGTTTTCTAGAGTATGTTTGTCCAAATCTCTTGTCATATATTGAAGTATGTTGTAAATCATCAGGACTTTTAGTTATGGCAGATTCATGAGGGGTGATTTCATTTGAAATATCATTATCTAAGTTAAGATTCAAAAAATCTAAATCACCTACACTCACTGAAGCTTCTTGACTCCCCTAGATAAAGGCTCCCCCTGAAGCTGAAGTTGAGGGGAAAAGAATGGTGATCTCTCAAAGAAATTGCAATCCATGGAGACAAAATATTTTTTTGAGACCGGGTCATAACATTTATAGCCTTTTTGAAAGGCTGAATATCCAAGAAAAATGCATTTTATTGCACGCGGATCAAGTTTAGACTTAGTTTTATCCCGATTAGACACAAACACAGTGCAACCGAATATTTTGAAGGGTAAATTGATAAAAGGTTTAAGATCACAATTAAACTCATGAAATTTTTGGATAGGAGTTTAAAAAGATAAAGGTTTAGAGGGCATGCGATTAATCAAGTAAACAACAGTTAAAAGGGCATCTCCCCAAAAATATTTAGGAACATGATTAGCTAGTAATAATGCTCGTGTGATTTCAAGTAGGTGTCTATTTTTCCTTTCCGCCACACCATTTTGTTGTGGCGTATCAACACATGAGCTTTGTTGGATCATTCCCTTTTCATTGAAAAACTGAGTCAGGTTATTAGAAAAATACTCCCGACCATTGTCACTACGAAATATTTTAATCTTCTCATTAAATTTAACTTGGACCATGTTGTAGAATTTTCTGAAAATATCGACTACTTCATGTTTGTCTTTCATCAGAAATAACCAAGTAAGACGCGTATGATCGTCAATAAAAGTGACAAACCACCTTTTACCAGAAGAAGTAGGGATCCTAGATGGACCCCAAATATCACTATGAATTAATTGAAAGGGTTTAGAGGGAATATAAATACGAGAAGGATAAGAAGACTTGTGATGTTTAGCTAAAGCACATGCTTCACATTTAAAAAAAGATTGATCTTTATTGATGAATAACTTAGGTAACAACCGTTTCAAATAAAAAAAACTAGGATGACCCATACGAAAATGCCATAACATAATATCTTGATCAGTAGACACAGACTCTAATTTATGAGGAGATTCTTGGGCAACCATACTTGAAGGGCAGTCCATCTTCAAGATAATACAGCCCGTCGCACTCCTTAGCACTGCCAATCATCCTCCCCGAGTTCAGGTCCTGGAAATAGCACATAGAGGGTGAGAAAATAGCTAGACAATTTAGCTCACGAGTTATTTTGCTAATGGACAGCAAGTTACATGACAATTTAGGGACATGAAAAACTTTAGAAAGAGTGATAGGTGGAGAAATTTGAATTTTCCCTCTGCCAGCAATTGCAGCAAGAGAGCCATTAGCAATTTTCACTTTGTTATTCCCTGCTGCAGGTTCATAGGAAGAAAATAATTGCGAACAATGTGTCATATGATTCGAAGCCCCAGAATCAATGATCCAAGAACTCGAAGGAGTGGAGCAAACAAAAGCGGAAGGAATACCTTTCTGGGCTGGAGCAGGGGAAGAAGATGAATTAAGTGTGAATTGTGGAGAGTTAAAAAGCTTATATTATACAGGTGCTGTAGTTGTTCCTGAGTGAAAGGTAGTGGTTCTGGAGAAGCTGTTTTTTCTTCAGAAGTTTCAGCCATGGCAGCAGTAGCTCTCCTGTCCCCCTTCTTTTTTGTAGACGATGGTTTTCCATGAAGCTTGTAGCATTTATCCTTTGTGTGCCACAACTTCCCACAGAAATCACAAGAGAATGGCGTTTTCTTGTCACCTGCACCATTAAAACGCTTTGAAACCAAAACCATGTTGTCGCTCTCTGGAATTGAGGGAGCATGGTCATACATCACCCTTTTTCGTGCCTCTTCCTGGCGAAGTTCAGAAAAAACAGTCCTGACCGTTGGTAGGGGCTTACGGCCAAGAACTCTTCCTTTAGTTTCGTCAAAACTGTGATTGGCGCCAGCAAGAAACATGAAGACACGATCATCTTCCTCTCTGCGTTTTGCACGTACAAGATCTTTTGGATTTTCCCAAACGTCATCATTATAGCATAAATCCAACTCCTGCCACAGAGAGAGCATCTCATTGAAATAAGTAGTGATGTCTTTGTCACCTTGTTTAGAGAGCCAAAGTTTTTTGTTCAACTCAAATATTTGAGATGAATTGCCACGATTAGAGTATGTCTCACGAACAGCATCCCATATATCCTTAGGATCCATATACATGAACGGCCGACGGATCCGTTCGTCCATGGAATTGAGCAGCCAACCAGCAATCAGGGAGTTGGCAGATCGCCATCGCCGGAAAGAAGGTCGGTTGGTGCAGGTTCTGGTTCTTCTCCAGTTAAAAAACCAAACTTGCCTCGTCCGTCCAAGGCAAGCTTGACCGATTGAGCCCATTCTGAATAGTTCTGACCATTAAGCCGGACCACCGTAATTTGTAAAGCCTGAAACGAGTTAACGTCCAGACTGGAAGGAATTCGTGATAGGGTTTGTGGGTCAGATGATGGACTCGACATGCCAGAATCTTTGGACATGATTAACCAGAGGAATAGTTAAAAAAAATAGAT